ACGGTGTAGAGCAGTCTTGCGCCGCTGAAACAAAAAGTACACGTGCCTAGGATTTTGCTTGCTGTGTGGAAACCTGCAGCAGATTTTTCCCCAACTGCTTTGAAAGTTTTCTGGCTTCTTTTTTGGAGTTTGAAGCTGCATAATCAAAAAAAATTATATTAACAGTGGATTGAAATGGTGTTAGCTCTTAGTGAGGAAAGCCACAGACAAGTAATCACCCGACTCTACAGTTTTCCCAGAGCTTTACAGAGTGCCTTTAAACTCATTGTTTTGGATTTTACAGCAATTTTACTGTTTTCAAGTTGGCGGCTAGCTGGTGAACACAGTGATGCAGTTAAAGAGCCAGATATTTCTCAATAGGAGTTGGTGGAGACCAAAAACAGAGCGTATAAGGAGAATGAAATTGTTGGCTACAGTCATCAGGGTGGTCAGAAACACGACCTCCAAACTGAATGCACAACTGTTTGCTAATAGGTGATATGATAAGGAGTTTGTTAAAGCCTGTTTTAAAGCTTGTCCCTTACTCAAAACTTACTTATTAAAATGTCAGTACAAGCAGGATCTGATGAAATTTGCTGACAGGTGATATATTAAAATGGAAGGTAGCTTCATTCCCTCTCCCTCCCTCAGTTGAGTTTCGCCTTGACTTAAATACAATGCTTTTTTCAGTGAGCGTTTCTGTCCTATACAGAAGATGTTTTATTCATAGTTTCTTATAACTTACCTACAAGAATTATTCCCTTCAAATAGTAAAAACACAATTGAATATGTCTTCTGACTGTTCTATTCCTCGATGAAGGCTGTTACTGCACACCAGCTCTCTTTTATTTACCCAAGTCCTCAAGAGAGCAGCCTCGCTCAGCTTAAAGATTACCAATCGCTCTAGGAGGTTTTTTAACCAGAGAGGTCAAGTGGGAAGGTTATATCTAATGAATCGCTCGGCTTCTCGCGCTACCCACCAGGGTTCAATGGTAAGATGAACAAGTAGATTATGACGAGCCCAGCAAGGGGCCTCAGTGGTCCCCCATCCACAGAGCTCTTGCATTTAACCTTTGAACCTTGTGGAACATGTAAGCGTAGTTATGAGTGATGACATAGATCACTTGGACTGCAGAATGCAGAGGAGCTTTAAGTTTTAGCCAAATACCGAGAACGGAGCTGATCCATAGTATTTAGTAAATTAATACTGTAGAGTCGCAGGGCCTAGGCTTTGGCTCATTGCACAAGAACAGATTACAGTCAAACACCATCCATTTAGCGCAAGAACCTTAGACTTGAACTTAGATTTAGATTGTTTTAACCGTTTTCACCTGTGATTCTATGATCTCTGACAGTTTGTTACAGGCCTTAGGCCTCGATTTTAGATTCTTAGTACCTTAGATCTGTTGTCTAACTGTCGGGAAATTAGTATTTAGTATGGGGAGTAGTAAGTATATTATAATCTCGAATTATAAAGTTTACTAGTCTGTAGGCCTTTGCTAGCTGTCTATCCTGCTTAGTGATGCTGTGGCACAGCAGTGCTTTGAAGCTAAAAGCTAATGCCTATGTGCTAACCATGCTCAAAATGACAGTGTAAAATTCTGACGTTTAGCAGGTATTATGTTTCCATCCTAGTTTAGCATAAAGCATAGGTACAGCTGAGGCTGATGGGAATGTTATTCGTTTTTACTTAGTCGAGTCTTTGGTCATAAATAAAAAAGTAATGGACAAATAAAGCAGCGACCCAAGGATGGTCAAAAAGAAAGTAAAAGAGATCACCAAAGTGATTACAAATCAGCAAAATAAAATTTGATGAGTTAAATTCAATTCAATACTAAGACCCACGGGACCCTTGAATCTGAGAGTTCATTTCAAGGTGTTTATTTACTTTATTTTAAGTTTCAGAAAACATTTTGAGACAGTAGTCTCAGAAGGGGGGTCTCTGCTGAAGCGAGGTCTGCACTGAATGCCCTGGAAGTGCAGGTCTCAGAAAGGGCGTTGTCACACCCTGATTGGCGAAGAGGGTAATGCACCAAGCTGCTCTCAATCATTATTTAGGAGCCAGGGCCCACACGCTGTACAAGAGCATCATCTGAATAACCCTCCAATCAGCTTAGCTCATATAAATTAGTACCAAAGAATGAGATCTGCATACAGACACAGTAGGAGAGTACAAAAAGTAAAGTGCAAAGGGAAGTTGAGTGAGGGAGGAGGTCCAATTACTGGAGGACTCAAGTCACACGTCTGTATGCAACCGGTGTGTGAAAGCCAACGATGAATTAATGACGGCTCCAACCCTGACCTTCCCGTATTCCCGTATGGGGGCGTAAAGGGAAAGACAGCTTCCCTTCAGGCATCAATTAAAAGATTACAATGTTATTGTTGTCGCCTATTGTAGAACCATCATTTTATGTGCATCTCTTAGGAAAAGGAGGCTGTTTACAATGACAGGTTTCCAACGGTGACTAACTATAAAGCAAATGTGCAAGACATACACACCAATACACAGACCAATTATAACATTTGCAAAGGTGAGGAGAGGAAATCAGAGATTACTTGTTACTGCAGACAATGGATGTCAGTATGTTCCCAAAGAACACCATCTGTTCTAATTCATCTGCTCTTTTATTGCAGACTGATCTGGCAGAATCTGATAGTGGCACCACTCATTGTGGTTTTATATATAAAACATGGTCTACACCACTTTACACCAGAGCTCTTAGGCTCTAATCCCCATTGAATAGCTTTAATTTAATTTCTCGCTGAATATTAATATTTCTGATAATTTTTTAGAGTAGCAGAGTGAGAGACAGGAGCAAGGCATACTTTTTGGGGGTGTTATTTAAACAAGTATAGATTTATATTCTTGTATTATTCATCTGTTCTTTTCTTTTGTTATTCCAGTTCTTCCCTTACGGCGACGCGTCCAAGTTCGCCCAGCACGCCTTCAGGACCTTCGACAAGAACAGCGACGGCACCATCGACTTCAGAGAGTTCATCTGCGCGTTGTCCATCACATCACGAGGCAGCTTCGAGCAGAAACTCAACTGGGCCTTCAACATGTACGACCTGGACGGAGACGGCAAGATCACACGGGTGGAGATGCTGGAGATCATCGAGGTATCACAAGGAATAATCTTTCTAAGAGAGCTACGGTCGGATATGAAGTGGTACACTGCCACATGGCTTCCGTGCTTTTTAACGTGCTGAGTCACAAGGATGCAGCACTTTAGATTTTTTTTAATACTTAGTCAAAGGTTCTACAGCTGAGCCCGCAAGGCCTGACAACACACAGATTATTCATAAACAGGAATAATGTGAAACAAGCAACAAGAGGCGAAAGTGCACGTTTAGAGCAGACTCATCAGGAATTTGGGGCACTTTGTCTCAGATAAAATCAGTCAGATAATACTGTTGTCATTCAGCATCATTTCTTTTCACTCACATGTGAAGCTGAAATCACAATTTCCAATTCTCTAAAATATTTAATCTGTGAATTGATTCTAGAATACTAAGACAGTTTAATCAGAGCCTGGTTTATTAAACAATGATTGTACAAACAGAATATCCATACATTAAAAAAATCAGGTTGTCAGTGAAAATGTGCATTCAACATCTGAGCAGTGAAGTCCACTAACAAACTGTGGCTCCACTGATCTGTAGAGTGTAAATATAGAATGTTTGCATGCATGTTTTGATGTTTGCAGACCAATCTTTCACATTCTGTTCTGTCATGTGGGAGGACATGAATAAAAAAGAAAAAACTAATAGCACAGACTTTTCGCCCTTATTATTTAGACAGCACATCATATTATCTGTGCAGTAGTCGAAGCCTGAAGTTCAGAGGAAACAACACTTCATTTCAACACACAAGCAGGCTTCCTTGATTGCTCTTTCCTCGTGTCTGTTCCTTACCTCACTCAGGAACAGACACGAGTGAAGGAAACGTGGCTGCATTAAGAGACTTACCTTCTAAAACCCTGCTCTCTTTCTCCCCCTGCAGGCGATCTACAAGATGGTGGGCACTGTGATCATGATGAAAATGAACGAGGACGGCCTGACGCCCGAGCAGAGGGTGGACAAGATCTTCTCCAAGATGGATAAGAACAACGACGACCAGATCTCGCTGGAGGAGTTCAAAGAGGCGGCCAAGAGCGACCCGTCCATCGTATTACTGCTGCAGTGTGACCTCCAGAAATAGGCCGGAGGGCGAGCAGAGGAGCGCTGCACCAGCCGCCACGGACTGCACAGAAAGAATTTCATGTTCCATTCAGTTTGCAGCTATTTCCACTGAAAAAAAAAAATATGCTTGGACTACCTTTCAATGGATCTGCTTCTTGTGTTTGAAACACTCGTGTGCATGAGAATGTTATTTGCTATAAAAAGATCTACACACAACATACAACAGTGTGGGGGTGCACGCTCACACCACAAACACACTCACAGTACATATACACACACACACACACACACACACACTCACTACATATAAACACTTCGCACAAATAATATATATAGATAGATATATAAATATGAATATATATTTAAATTATTCAAAGATCAACTGCCAAAATGTGAAGTGTGCAAAGTATTTTCCATACAGTTTCATTCTACTGGAGCTTGCGCATCATTGATGTGCTACGTTGAATTTGCCGCTACTCTATTTATCGTTCCGAGTTTAATGACGCTAGCTGTATGTGTTTCATAATACTGAGTAATGTCAACTGAACCAAATTCCTATGATAATGTATCTGCCTCCAATAAGACACTCGATCCATCCTCTCCGATATGATATTAGCTCTAGAAGAGATGGATTAGCGTTTGTCCAACTTTTCCTTCCAAAACATGCTTGTACTGTCGGTAAAGAAAAATGTAAACGTAGTTAATTTGCATGCCTTTAGGTTCTGCCTTAAAAAATCTCCTCATTTTGCATCCTGTAATCGCAGACGGAAAGCCTTATCAAAGCAGCGCGGCGTCACGTGGGAGAAACCGTGAGAAAAGATTTTTACCGTATAGGGAGCAAAAAAATAAACCATAATGCAGTAGGTCCTTCTACAAGTATTGTCGTACGGGATGTAATTTTCGTGATCTGTCCGAGACCTGTTTTCTTTTAACTGCTTTAACTGTGGGAGCATGTTTCCTCGTAGACTAGCTGTAGTATATGTTGCTGAAGAACTAAAAACCCGCCCCTGTGCATTCAAACACTGTCTCTAATTAGCAGAAGCTGATCGTGAAGGAATCCCCCATTTTGAAGCTAGAAAGAGATCAATTGATGGAGGCAAGTGAGATCAAACACTCACATTAGGATTCCCTGGAGAATAAATGCAGTTTCCCTAGGCTGGAGTAGTAGTATAGTAATAGTAGATTAGAAAGAAGTATTAATTTATAGTTGGAGAGCATTGTTATCAAACTTAGTTATAACGTGTCCCATTACATCCATCTCTTTTCCAATTAGCCTGCAGGTTGCATATCAATACGATCAATTCAGAGTTTTTAAACTCTTAGAGAAGTTAGAAATAAGGCCCGCGCAGCATTTCTTGTTTGTCTTTTTCAGTGGAAGTAAATGAATGCGAAGCAGTGAGAGGAGCAGTGAGTGGCGTTTCATTATACACTGTAACTAGTAGAGGACAGCCCTTACTGTAAAGCCATGTGTTTAGTAGGTTGGACAACTCGCCCTCCCTAACCCTGGAAGTATTTCTCTCTTACCAATCAGTCAATCTTTTTGTACTTTTTTACTCCCCCTCTCTCACACATTGTACACGTACTGATGCATACTAAATGTAGAGAAGTTCAGCGTGGTACCTCCCAGAAAATGATTTGGAAATAAGCCGTCTTGAAACTTTATAGAAGTTGACCCTGTCCGAGAGCTCCGCAGACCCTTTCCAACCTGCATTAACGCTGCCAGTGTTCAAAGAGCTTCAGGAGGTTAAAGGAGATGTGATTATATCATAGGAACAGTACAGTATTGCAATGAAGATCCAGCATACCGGTCCATCGTCATCTCTCAGCAGTGTGGCTTGCCCCGCCCCCGTCAGTTTGTAATCTGAACTTCTTTACATGGACATCTTCGGCCAGACAATGTTTCTAATTCCAACTCTGTTATTACTATTATTGCTATCAAGATACCAAATGTAAGCAAAGGCAAACGTGTACAAGGATTCTTTTGTAGCATGTATTGTGTCCCTGACAACATGGCTGCACTACTCCCTGTGTTGTGATTTACTCTAATAAAAGGAACTCTATGGGCTCTTGTCTGGTCTGCTAACTCAACAAACCATCTCTTCAAGCAACATCGATATAAAGCCTCACCTAGACCAGTTCTTAATTATTTCAGCTTATTATTTAATGTATCCAAAATCAGTAAATGCTCAGGTTGGAGAGAATGTAGCTGGGTGATGTTTCAGCTTGACTTTTGATACTTTAGGTTTTATGCTGATAATAATTTTACTTAAGTGATACTAAATGCAGGATTGTGTCATTACTTTTACACAGGGAAATGATCTGAGCACACCACTGACCCCAGTCTATGAAGACTTGGTAGTTAGTTGCCTCGTGGTCCAAACAGCTCTCTGCACTGACATGAACTGTACAAACTGTCCTGTATCATTTGACTATAGCCACCTGATGACCTATTGTCACTAAAGACACCAGAGTGACAGCCGGGGGACTGCTGCACTCAACCAGCCATCCACACAGAGCTGATAAATAGCCAGTTTAGTGTGGTCTTAGGGTATACCTACAGATGAGTATAAAAAGAGACTTTAATTGTGAAAAAGAAGCAATCCTGTTTCATTCTTTAATTTTTCAATACAAGAGATGAATCTAATGAGCATCCTCCACTATTAAAAAGGTTGCACTCATGCACTGCTGACTGGAAGATACATTTCAGTAGTAATGTCCCTGTACAACCACCAGATGTCACTTTTAAGACAAAATAGTTTGTTTTAAGAAAGACAAACAGTGAACATTTTCTATAAAAACACAATTTGATGTTTGTTTTTCAGGTGAATTTACATCAGCAGGAGTGGAAATACAGCAGAAAATTTTTTCTGTGGAAATGGCTGAGAAAGCCTGCTATATTTACCCATGACTCTGGCACAATAGCACTGATTACAGAGGGTTCACTTGGAGGTTTGTGTACTCTCTATCACACACACACACACACACACAGAGAGTCAACTCCAAACTAAAAACCCCAGAGACCGCATCAAGCTGTTTGAAGCTTCAGGCAAACCAAGAATGGGGCGACCCCCTAACCCCTGTGCAAATGTGGAAAATGTATACTGACTATTGATCCACATGGGTTCACACAGAGGACGGCACTGCTGCTACATTACATCTACAGTATGTAAAAGGGACGAGACAGGAGCTTTTAGAAAAAGGAACATTTATTTTACAGGAACCATATACTTTACATAGTCGGTCAACTCAATTTCATTTCACACATCGCGTGACTGTGGCTGGCTTTAAATTAGGAGATTGTAAAAGTAAAAAGTAGAGTGACAACGAAAAGACAATCTGCTCTGGCGTCTCAACATCTTTCCCAGGGTGATACTACAACCAGTTACTATCTACACCCCCCTGTCCCGCCTGTCAATCACTTGACACCAGCCCAAATTCTGAAGTCCTCTTCTGACAATCAAACTTAAAGGTTAAAATTCTGAGAAACTGTATTCGATGTGAACGTCATACAGCTCCCTGCCCTTGTGTGTCAACTGCAGTGTAAGCAGTGTTCACACACACCTGATGATGAAAATAAAACAAAAAGAAAATTCCAACTTATCATTAAACAAAATGAATTTTAAAAAAAAACATCGGTATCGGTAAATCAACAGCTGTATCGGTAAATCAATACCAGCATCAACCAAGGAAAGTGTGATTTTTGTACAGATTGTGGAAGTGAAGGGGTGGGGTGGTGGTTGGGGTCTCCAGAACACTACTTTGGGGGGTCTGTGTTGATGCCGTATTTCTCTTTTAGGAGCTTCAACTGCTCCTCTTTCTTCTTTGTGTCCATCTTCTGGAAAGCCTGCAAAAAAAGAGTGAAAACTAAATTATATTTGGGTAATTGCATGAAGATATATGTTCAATAACATTTTTCAATTCCCAAACCTAGATTTGTGTCTGACATTTACTAAAGCCCATTCAGTGATTGCCCTTTGACCTCCAGACACTGTAATGCTCATACATACTCTGTTCGCATTGTAGTAGAGGACCACCAGGTAGCGGTTGCAGACATTGAAGCCTGACAGATGGTCACAGGCGTTCTTGGCATCAAAGATGTCTTCATAAACCACATAGGCCGTTCCTCTTGATTCAGGTGTGTTCCCTCTGAGAAGCAAGAAGAAGAAAACAGACAGGAAGTGACTACATGACCAACATCTGCAGTCTCACAGGTGTTATGGGGAAATAAAAATCGCGCATGAAACCGAGCAGAACCTCTTTCACATAGGATATTATATGCAAATGAACCTAAAGGCCATCCTGATATTTCATTCTACATATCTGTGCAGCATCAATAGTGGCAGTCTAAGATATTCTGACCGTCCTGTGGCTTAATAAAAGGGTGATTCACATCTATCTGCCCTTCTGGAGAGATCAGTACGATGACTGAGAGCTCAATGCCCTGCAACTTAAAAACACACACATGCAAATAATTAAGAAAATTAAGAAAACTGCTTCATCAATGTGACAACACGCGCTGCAAATACACAAAACAAGAACAGAAGTTTTCCCAGACGAGGCCTCGGACATGTTTGTTATTGCCACAGTTTGTGACTCATGAAGTTACTGAAGTCGGCTCTGTGTATCAGCAGGTCATTGTTTTCCTGTTGTTTTGTAGTGCATTTTTTTTTGTTGCTTTTGCTCTGTGAAAATGCATACTTACTGTGTCTAAGTATGCATTTTCACAGATGCACAGATGTGAAAATGTATGTAAATTTAAAATAATTTCTAGATCTTGACAAGTTGTTTTAATTATTA